TCATAAATTGCTGGGCCAACTCTACCAGTATGTTTCAAAGACTGGTTTTGGTCCCAAAGGGCAGCACCAAGTCAAGCTGAGGTCCCTGAGGCATACTTGACAATCAGTTGTCTTCTGTGTGTGGACGGGGTGCATTTCCACCACATGTGGGGGTTTTTTCTCATTTTGATTAAAGGAGGGGCGTCTGCATTTGGAGTGCCACTCAAAAGTCTGCTTGGTATTCTATGAAACAGCACTCCTCTGTATGCTGTCTTTCCAGCTGAAAAGCTAAGAGGAATTCTGCCAGCAGGTAGTTTTTCCTTATTCCTGCCCCGCAACAGAGAATTTGCTACTGACACTGGATTCTTGTTTCCATGCTCCAAAATTGAAGGATTTTCTGTCCCCGATCACATTCTATCTTGTACCACATTTGAGATTGAGTACTGAGCCTGCTTCTGTAATGAGATAATCTTCTGGTTCATCTAAAAATACGCTCGCCGATTTAGTGAGAAGGACACCAACGTTGTGTATGACCGTTCAGTGCCCTTTGACTCCCCCTGCCCACCTGAGGGCCTTTGCACCTGCTGTTTCCTCTGCCCAGCCTCTATCCATTTCTTTACTCTCCATCCATTTCCTCCTCCACCGCATTTGATGTATAGGTTTTTTTTTTTTTTAAAGATTTTATTTATTTATTTGACAGAGACAGAGACAGCGAGAGCAGGAACACAAGCAGGGGGAGTGGGAGAGGGAGAAGCAGGCTTTCTGCTGAGCCGGGAGCCCGATGTGGGACTCGATCCCAGGACCCTGGGATCATGACCTGAGCCAAAGGCAGTTGTCAGATGCTTAACTGACTGAGCCACCCAGGCGCCCTTGATGTATAGGTTTTTATTTTTCTCTGAAATGACCTGTTTTCTTGTCTGTCTTTCCCACCAGAATGTGGGTTTCCCGGGGGTAGAGGTTTTTGTTGATTTTGCTTGTGGCAGCTTCATTGATTCCCACAATGATCCTGGCACAGAAGTGATGCTTAGTAACTAGAGATGAACAAGCACTCAGCCCTTGTGCTGGGTGATGCTGGGGACCCAGGGCTGAACTGGGCCGAGGCCTGCCCCACTCCCAGGCTGGTGAAGGAAGGAGATCTGGACATGGATCATTCTTGGTCTGGTGGCCAGAGCAGTGACAGCTGAGATACGGGGGACAAGGAGGGCTGAGGCAGAGAGGGGAGGATGTGGAGAAGGCTCCCTGGCGAGGAGAACTTGCGGTGGCTGAGGACGAGCAGGAGTGTATCAGGTGGTGAATCATTCATTCACTCACTCATTCACTATTCATTTCCTGGGCCCTCCTGCCCTGGGAAATGCCAAGGACCCAGAGATGAGTCAGTCCTGAACCCTGTTCTCTGCAAGCTCCTACTCTGATGGGGGTGGTTGACAGGATGGTCACAATCCAGGATGATCAAACTGTGGCGGAGGTAGATACAGAGGCTGCATAAGCCTCTAGGGGCTACTTGGCACCCATTAAAGGGAAGAGAAGGGCACCCAGAATAAACAGGAGTCAGGTAGGTCCCTTTCATACAGGATGCTGGAGATACGAGCAGACCGGGCACAGCCTGGAATAATCTGGAGCCAGGTTGCATTGCACACTGTGTCCTAGTGCGGCAACCCAGTGAGCTCGATCCCACTGTAGTCCCCATTACAGATGAGGACATTGAGCCTTACCGAGATTGAGTCACTCACCCAGGGAAGCAACCAGCTAGGGTCCACTGTGACCATGGGATTCGGAGGGGACCGGCTGGAAGAGATGAGGCTGGAGATGTGCCCAAGGCAGGTTCTTCATGCAGGTGGCACAGCTTGAGTGGCCTCGCCATTCTCTCACCCTGCCCCACCCTCCAGTGTGCAAAGCCAGTCATGGAGGGGTGGGTGCAGGCCCCTGCGACTGAGCTACATGGGGTAAAAGTGAGGGGTTTGCAAAACGGGAAGAATGACCTTCTGTTTCCTTTCCCACAATGGAACAGCTTAGGGGGCTCCTGTTACTATTTCTGGGGGTACAGCTGCTGCTTATGGGGGCATTCCTCTACCCGAACCACAATCGCCACAGCCTCGCCTCCTTCTTGCACATCCTGATACGGGACAGGCCAACGGTGGGAGAAGAGTTGCCCTTTTGGGTCTCAGTCTCCTCTGCAGGGACCTCTTCCCAGGATGTGTATGCCAACCTCAGCCAGATCCACTCTGTGGACGTTAGTGAAGAGCACCTGCCCAGCTGCCCCCTCATCTCACCCTACATCGGTAAACTTGTGGGGGCGTCCTACACCCCCAACCCTGTGTCAGGCTTTGGGGAGCTAGCAGGACTCCCTGGGGAAGCAGAAGGCATGGGCCTGGTGTCTGGGGGTGATGGAGAGCATGTGCTGGCTATCTGTGACTGCATCATAATGAACCACCCCAGAAATTAGTGTCTCTAAACAGTCATCAACTCTCAATGTGTATCTGGGTTGGGAGTTGGGGAAGAGTCCCACTGGGCAGTTGTGGTCCAGGTTTTTCACGCCGTTGCAGTGAGATGTGGCTGGAGCTAAAACAGCAGTGGGTAGAAGCACCCCGTTCTCTCCCCGCAATCTCAGAGGGTCCAAGTAGCCCCTCCAGTGGGCTCGTTTGGGCTTCCTCACAGCATGGCGGCCTGAGCACTTACACGGAAACCACAAGCTTCAGGCGCAAGTGTTCACATAAACCAGGCAGAAGCCATGATCTAGTCTCAAAAGCCATGTAGTGTCATTTCTGACATACCCCACTCGTTGAAACTGTCATAAAAGCCCACCCAATTTTAAGGGGTGGGGACATAGACTCACCTCTCCTTGGGAGGAGCATCAAAGTCACATTGTAAGAAGGGCATGTTGGGTCAGAGATACTGTGGTGGCGTCTTTGGAAAAAATACGGTCTGCCACGGAGAGGGGGAGGAGCCACAGCTGCGGCTGGGTGGGTGGGCGGTGGAGCCCTCAGTGAGAGGAACTGGAAGGAGCAGTCTGAGGTGTAGGGAGAGCGGGTGGCCTGAGAACCACCCCAGGAGAGACACCCTTAAAACAACAGGAAGTTTTCTCCACAGCTCTGGAAGCCAGAAGTCCAAAATCAGGGTGTCGGCAGGGTTGATTCCTTCTGGATGCTCTGAGAGAAAAACCGTCCTACGCCTCTCTCCTAGCTTCTGGTGGTTGCTGGCAATCCTTGGCTTTCCTTGGCTTGTAGGCACATCACTTTGATTTCTGCCTCCACGGCCGCCTTGTCTCTGGGTCTTCACGTGATCTTCTCATAAGGACACCAGTCGTTGCATTTAGGGCCCACCCTCATCCAGTACTTCTACATTCTCACCATCTACATCTGCGCAGACCCTGTTTCCAAATGAGGTCACACGCTGAAATGCTAGTGGATGTGGTTTGGGGGGGTGGACATGATTGAACCCAGTGCAGCTGGGTTGTGGGGTTTCTGGGGCAGATCCCTGACCATCCCCGGCGTCTGCCTCTCTCAGATGGCCCCCTGAGGGTGACGATCCCAGAGAACTTGACGATGGAGCAGGTACTGGAAAAGAACCCGCGGGTGGAGCTGGGAGGCCAGCACCGGCCGCCTGACTGCTGGACACGGCACCACACAGCAGTTGTGGTGCCCTACTATGCGCAAGACCAGCACCTGCGGCATCTCTCTTCCACCTGCTCCCGTTCCTACAGCGCCAGCAACTGCACTATGCCGTCTCCGTGGTGAACCAGGTGCAGCCGGAATGGGGAGGGCCAGAGGCAAGAAGGCAGAGGGGTTTGAGCGCGGCTGTGGAGAGTTGAGGCTGAAGTCGTCAGTCTCTGAACTGACAGCATTTGGGCCAGAGAGTATCCAGGGGGTGGGGGGCTGGGTTTATGAGGCAAGAAGAACTTGAACTGGGGGGAAATCAGAGCTGGGGCTGTAGGTTGGGTCTAGACTGGCTGAGTCTGGGATCGGCTCAAATGGCTGTCTGGAAGACTCAGGCCCGCTGGGTCTGGGCCTCCCTGAGACCAGGGCTGGCCAGGTTGGGCAATGAAGCTAAGCAGTAATTTAAAGCACTAGGTTTGGAGTCCTTTGGAGGCTTGTTTGACTCTCAGTGTTGCCCATTACAACCTGTGTGGTCAGAGTGTGGGACCGATCATCCATCCATCCATCCATCCATCCACCCATCACATTGTCACTCAGTATAACTATGTATAAACTTTGGGAACTCTGTGCCACTCTTTTCTCATTCATGAGGCAGGGATGATAATAACCCCTCCATCATCGGGTTGTAGGAAGCATTCATTGAGTTGATGACTAAAGCAATGAGGTCAAGGTACTCAGTAAGTGATAGTGCTAATGATGATGGTGATGATGGTTTTGCTGGTGATGATTAAAGTGTTGCTGGTGCCAGGGGTGAGGATGGTGATGGTGGTGAGGATGGTGATAGTGGTGAGGATGATGTTGACAGCAGTGATGGAGGTGAGGTGATTGTGTTGATGGCATCAGAGATGGTGAAGAGGATGGTGGTGGTGCTCATGCTGGCGATGAACATGATAGCAAGTGATGATGGTAGCGATTAAGGTGGTGATGATGAAGGAGAACATGATGATGATGGAGGAAGAGGAGAGGGAGAGGCAAACCCTGTCATGGTTTCTGGGCATCAGACCCAATCTTTGGTAGGAGCAGAAACAGACGTAGGTGCTCCCTGCTCCTACCCTAACCCCTGCCTCCCTCAGATGGTCTCTTGAAGGGGATGATCCTTGAGAACCTTGAAAATGGCCGTGGACGGAGCTGGGGGGCTGATGATACTGACTCTGCCTAGGATGGGGGTGGGAATCCAGGAAAAGTTTTCCAGGGGAGGTAACCTTTGAACTGTGCCCTCATGGACACAGTTCTGGGTTTTCCAGCTCCAGTGGGAATAGGGTCCAGGCAGGAGAATGGCACTTGAAAAGGGGAGAGGATGGGCCTGGCAGGTGGGGAAATGCTCCTGCCTGCTGGTGAGGGAGCATCGAGCATCTCTGTCCATCCCAGGTGCACAACACCGCCTTCAACCGGGGCAAGCTGCGCAATGTGGGGTTCTGGGAGGCCATGCAGGAGGAGGAATGGGACTGTGTCTTTTTCCACGATGTGAACCTCCTCCCAGAGGATGACTGCAACCTCTACATCTGTGACATCTATCCTCCTCATGTGTCTGTGGCCACTGACAAGTTCAACTACAAGTAGGTGGAGCGAGGGGGCCTCCTGGGGGGGATGGTTGGCCAGGCCCTGTGCTTTCCTGGACCTCGCCCTGCCCATCGTTAGGGTCCAGGCCCTGATCCCTGGGACTGAGGCAGAGAGGGATGTTGAGACCCAGGGAAAAGCCTTGTAGACAGGGAAGAACCTTTTGGATGCAGGTGTTAGGGGGGTTGGTCAGTGATAGAGAGGGTCATGATGGAGGTCAAAGAAAGGAATGTATGAAAGGACGGGCTGACTAGGGGGCAGGAGAGGGTGATCCCAGGGGTCTAGGGAGAAAGGGCCATTAAGGGGTCACAAGGTGGGCCTGTCAGATGATTTAGGGGAGGGGATATCCCAGGTCAAGTGAGGGCCCATCTCAAGGGGCAGAGGAAGGGTTACTCCAAGGTCAGGGAAGGGGACACCTGAGGGGTCAGGGGAGAGGTTAGTTATCACAGGGGTGAGTGGGGAAGAGCAAACCCAGAAATAATGCTTGGGAATCCTGGCCAGAGCCCCTGTTGCCTGAAATTCCTTGTTTCCAACTCTCTCTGCCTCTTCAGGCTACCCTACTGTGGCTACCTTGGGGGGGTGTTTGCCCTGCGCCCCATTCACTACCTGAGGATAAATGGCTTCCCCCAACTCGTACTGGGGCTGGGATCGTGAGGACCATGACATCGCTGCCAGGTGGGGGGCCCTGCTTGAGGAGCCTAGCACGGGGCTGCAGGCCCCTCCATGGTGTGGGGAACATAGGCCGCAGTGGCCTGCAGGGCTGGGTGTGGCGTAGGGACCCTGTCAGAGGGAGGCATCTGGCCTCCCTACCCTCTCCCCCTGTAAGGCTGCAACTGAGCGGGATGCTCCTCTCCCGACCCCATCGGCTCTTTGGCCGCTACCACATGCTGGAGGGGCAGGACCCCAGCCACCAGCAGAGCCCCCAGAGGTAAGTTGGGGTTGGAGGCAGGATGTCCCATCTTGGGGGGGGGTCCCTAAGTCCTGGGCTCACGTGGCTGCCCCTCCCCCCAGCCCTGGCCTTCTGGCCTCAATCCGCCGCAGATGGCAGCAGGATGGCATAAACTCACTTGGCTACAGGCTGCTCTCCAAGGAGCTGCAGCCCCTCTACACCAGCCTCACCGTGGACATCAACTTCCCAACTTCCCAGCCCTAGGAGCCCCCGTGCCAAGCTGAGGGGGAGCTGGAGGCTGGAACAGAATCCCTAAGACCTGGGCTGCAGGGCAGCCCTCCCAACTGGTTGCCTATTAAAGGAGTTTATTTTACTCACTTCTCCTCTCTGCCAACCTTCATCCCCACCCTTTCATTTCCAGGCACTGATTCAGAGCCCCAAATTCCCTGGTTCTCTCCATGTGGTTCCAAGTGCTGACCACTCACCTACCCATTTACTTCTCATGAAAACTTGTGGGGTAGGCACTGTTAGCATCGTCCTTTAAAAACCCAGGACAGAGGAGTTAAAAGCTTGTGTGACCAACGTAGGATCAAATTTGGGTACCTGGCTCCTGGACCAGTGCCCCACAGGGGTATGCAGTCCTGCTGCTGTCTTGTAGCAAAGAAAGCGGTGAGAAGAACGAATAGTGAAACCTGTGAGGATGGTTGAATTAACTAGTGTGTTCACCCCACAGAATACCACACAGCCACTGAGCAGATGCACCGCAGCATGGAAAGAACAAGGTGCACACGTGTGTGTGGTATGATCCGATGTTTATAAAAGAGAGGACAGAGTTCCCACACAGGTAGAGGATTATGAGCGTAGTGATGAGTGTGTGTGGGTATCAGGTCATCTTCTGTAAAGGGCCAGATGGTACATATTTGCAGCTTGCAGGCCACTGGAGCCCAGGGGCAGTCAAAGACCACACATCAACACAGGAGCATGGCTGTGTCCAATAAAACTTTTATTTAAAAGAGCAGGTGGCCAACCCTATTTGGCTGATGGCCAGTTTGCCGACTCCTGGTTTTAATGATTAGGAGCCTGTATAAAAATACAAAAAAGTCCATACTGACAGGTTAACACTGGTCATTTATGGAGCTGCTCCCCAGAGATGGTGGAGGTGGAAAGAAACAGGGGGAGTGGGGTGGGGTGGATAGAGCTGAGCGGGTCATGAAAGAGAAAAGGTGCCCTGTGAAGACCAGTATACATTACAAAATCGCATTTATACATTTACCAAAAAAGTACGTTCACGTGTCAAGACAGGCATACCTCGGAGACACTGGAGGTTCAGTTTCAGGCCACGCAGTAAAGCGAATGTCGCAATAGAACAAGTCAAGTGAATTTTTTGGTTTCCCAGTGCATGTGAGGGTTCTGTTGGCACTACACTGTAGTCTACAAAGTGTGCAACCGTGTTACGCCTAAGAAAAGTGTATACTTATTAAAAAACACTTCATTGCTAAAAAAAGCCAACCATCTTCTGAATTTTCAGTGAGTCGTAATCACTGATCACAGATCACCACGACCAACAGAATAATAATGAAAAACTTGGAAATATTCCAAGAATGACCAACATGTGACAAGACATGTTGGGAGCAAATACTGTCAGAAAAATAGCACTGTGACTCGGCTGCCACAAACCATTCAATTTGTAAAAACGCAGTATCTGCAAAGCACGATACAATGAGGTAGCTATGCCTGTATATATAAAGAAACTAATAATTATTGACTGTGCAATCTCAGGATATATTCAATCGGGAATAAATTTGATAACCATAATTACAGTAGATCCTTTAAAAAAGCATATAATCTTCCCACACCTCTGCTATGCAGTGATATCCTTTTTTTTTTTTATTTTTTTTGAGAGAGAGTGAAAGAGAGAGCACAAGAGGGGGTAGGGTCAGAGGGAGAAGCAGACTCCCCACCAAGCAGGGAGCCTGATGTGGGACTCGATCCCGGGACTCCGGGACTATGACCCGAGCCGAAGGCAGCCGCCCAACGAACTGAGCCACCCAGGCGCCCCTTATGCAGTGATATCCTACAACAAACACTACAGAACTGAGCGTTATGTGGGTGTATATACGTATCTATGTATGTATGTGCTGACCTGACCCCCACACGTGCACACACACACACACACACACACACACTACCGTTTGGTCATTCAGTTTGCTAGTACGTTGAAAATACTGATATTCCATATTCAACTGGGTTATCATTAATTTCTCACAAATTTTCCTATAAATGATCTGGTAAAAAAAAGTCTGTCTTGTACTACTTTCTAGAGAAACACGCTTCTCAATGTGTTAGTCGGGGTTTCTTCCCAGATGAATTTTATAATCCTTAACGAGGCTCGTACGAGTATGGACATTTACCCTCATTCTTAAAAGTTGTTTTCTGAGTCATTTCTTTCACATCAAATAATGTGTAACTCTGCAACATGCAGTGCGTTCCTGGAGTTTTTCAGAATCAGGGATTCTATAACCTACAACTGAATCTGATGCTTGGGAGATTTTTTTTCTTCTTCGAGAAATTTAGGGTTTGGTTCATTTATGTGTATGCCAATGCATATGAGGAACGGATTTCTGGGTAAAGCCTTTCACACAATAACTGCTTTAATAAGACCTGTCTCTAGTATGAGTAGTTTGGTGTTTATTAAAAGTGGATCTGTTGTTGAAGGCCTTCCCACACTGAGAACATACGTAGGGCATCTCTCCCGTGTGAATCCGCTGATGCACTTGGAGCTGTGGTTTCCTGCTGAAGGATTTCCCACAGTCACAGCATTCATAAGCCTTCTCTCCAACATGCGTTCTCTGATGTGCCATCAATTCTGATCTCTGGAGAAAGGCGTTCCCACATTTGTAACAGGCAAAGGTTTTCTCTCTGGTGTGCGTCATCTGATGTTTGTGGAAATTTGACCTGCCGTTGAAGGCCTTCCCACATTCGGTGCACACATAGGGTTTCTCTCCGGTGTGAATCCGCTGATGCTCTTTGAACTGTGACTTGGAAGTGAAGGCTTTCCCACAGTCGCTGCATTTGTAAGGCTTCTCCCCGGTGTGAGTTCTCTGATGCATGCTGAGTATGGACTTCTGGTTGAAGGCTTTCCCACAGTCGCTGCATACGTGTTGTCTTTCTCCGGTGTGAATCTTCTGGTGGATGTTGAGGTGTGACTTCTGGGTAAAGGCTTTTCCACAGTCACTGCATTCGTAAGGCTTCTCCCCAGTATGAATCCGGTGATGTATATCAAGCTGTGACTTGGAAATGAAGGCTTTCCCACAGCTGTGGCATGGGTAAGGTTTCTCTCCGGTGTGGCCTCTCTGATGAACAGTCAGATGTGCCTTCTGGACAAAGGCCTGCCCGCACTCAATGCACACATAGGACTTCTCCCCCGAGTGGATTCTCTGGTGCAAGCTGAGCGTTGACTTCTGGGTGAAGGCCTTCCCACATTCACCGCATGCGTACTCGCGCTCACCCGTATGAATCTTCTGATGGATGGTGAGGGTTGAATTCTGGGAGAAGCCTTTCCCACATTTGCTGCATTCGTAGAGTTTCCCACTAGTGTGAGTCCTCTGATGTCTGAAGAGAGATAACATCTGGAAAAAGGCTTTCCCACATTCGTGGCATTTATGGGACTTCTTTCTCGTGTGCGTTTTCTGGTGTGTGATCAGTTCTGATCTCTGAATGAAGACCTTCCCACATTCCTTACAGATGTAAGGAATGTTACCTGTGTGATCTGTCAGATACACACCGAGCTTTGGTTGTGGGGTGAAGCCCTTTGCGCATCTGCTGCATTCCTGGAGGTTTTCCACGCTATGGAATCTCTGCTGCTCGAGGGGTGGCTTCTGGGGGAAGCCCCCCCCACATTCGGCACATTTATCGGGTTTCTCCTGATTACGAATGTGATGCTGTGTGCGTGACTGTTTACGGCTGAGGACTTTCGTACATTGATCCCCATCACAGAAGTTCTCTCCTGGATGAATACCCTTGCAGCCAGCATGGGAAGAGCTACGGGTGAACAGCTGGCCAGAGCCAACAAGCTCATCAAGGCGTTCTGTGCTGTCGCTTTGATTTTGATGATTTACTTCTAGGTTAGGCTTCAAACTTTTTGCAAATGAGCAATGTTTATGAGGTCTTTTTTGTGAAGAAACAAGGTGGGGCCTCACATGAATGATTTTTCCAGAGTCTTTCCGTTCACGGTCTCTCTTTGTATCCAGTGTTTTCCTGTTGAGGAAGGCCCCACGCTGTGCAGGTTCATTTTGCTTCCACTGACTCCTCACTGTATGACTGGCATGTTCCCACAGGTCTTCTGAAATGGAACACCACGAACCATCTCTTGTGACTTCACTTTCCTTATCATCATGAAATGAAGCTTTTTCAAATATTTTCTGTTGGGAGGTTTTAAGTCCAAACACCCCTTCTAGAGGAGAAAAAGAAGATGAAAGAGACACAAGTTAGCAGAGGATGGAGGAGAAATCATAGGAGCAGACTGAGGGTGAACACAAATTGCTGAGTCATGATAATAATGATGATGGTGATGAGGGTGATGACGAGAGGAGACAGCCACCCTGCCTTCATTATGTGTCACCTGTCCGCATACAGCACGCAGCATGTGCCAAATAGTGTTCTACACTGTGCACACGGAAACTCTTTTAAATCCTCACAACCCTGCACAAGGTAACTGCGCTTACTCTCCCCGTTTCACAGATGAACAGGAGGAGGCACAGAATCTCTAAGTAATTGACCAAAATCACCCTGCGGAGCTCTGGGGAAAATCAGACTAGAATTTCTAATTCTTTTTTTTTTTTTTTTAAAGATTTTACTGATTTATTTGACAGAGAGACACAGCGAGAGAGGGAACACAAGCAGGGGGAGTGGGAGAGGGAGAAGCAGGCTTCCCGCGGAGCAGGGAACCCGATGCGGGGCTCGATCCCAGGACCCTGGGATCATGACCTGAGCCGAAGGCAGACGCTAATGACTGAGCCAACCAGGTGCCCCCAGATATCCCCATTTTAAAAAAAGATTTTATTTATTTATTTGACAGAGAGAGACAGCGAGAGAGGGAACACAAGCAGGGGGAGTGGGAGAGGGAGAAGCAGGCTTCACGCCGAGCAGGGAGCCCGATGCGAGGCTCGATCCCAGGACCCTGGGATCATGACCTGAGCTGAAGGCAGACGCTTAACAACTGAGCCACCCAGGCGCCCCTAGAATTTCTAATTCTAAGCTGGCTCCACTTACGCAGGCACGCGGTCTAGATACCTATACACACACCTGCGATGACAGAAAATACAGACAAGGGTATGACAGGGCAACGTCTGGGAACAGCCAAGGCTTGAAAAGGAGGGGCTCAGAGGATGGCTCTTCATTAGCTTTCAGATCTAAATTATCACTAACTTCCCAGTTTACTCTCACTTGTTAGAAACAATACCAAATCCATCTGCCCTATAAATCCTCTGGAGAAGTAAGAAAGCTCCAACCCTGACACGGCCAAGCAGTGAAAGAATACCTACGCCCAAACTCAACTCTCCAGGGAGCTGAAATGTGTTTGCTTGAACCTATTAACCCAAGAAAAGTACATTGGAAGAGTGGACAAGGGGCGCCTGGGTGGCTCAGTTGGTTGAGCGTCTGCCTTAAGCTTAGGTCATGAATACCAGGGTCCTGGGATTGAGCCCCGCATCCAGCTCTCTGATCAGTGGGGAGCCTGCTTCTCCCTCTCCCTCTGCCTGCCAGTCTGCCTTGTGCGCTGTCAAATAAACAAAATCTTTTTTTTTTTTTAAGATTTTATTTATTTATTTGAGAGAGAGAGAAAGAGAGTGAGCGAGTACATGAGAGGGGGGAGGGTCAGAGGGAGAAGCAGACTCCCTGCCGAGCAGGGAGCCCGATGCGGGACTCGATCC